ATGTTGGCCATTGGTTTCTTTTCCTGTTGTGTCTTTGTCTGGTTTTGGTACTGGGGCAATGCTGGCCTATAAAATGAGTTCAAAAGTGTTCCATCCTTTCAATTTTGGGGGAGGAATCTGAGGACTGGTGTCAATTCTTTGAATGTTTTGTAAAATTCACCAACTAAGCCATTTAGTCTAGGAAATTTCTTTGTTGGGAGGTCTTTGATTATTGATTCAATCTCCTTACTTACTAGTTATAGATCAATTCATATTATCTCTTTCTTCAGGACTCAGTCTTAGGAGGGAGTTTCTAGGAATCTGTCCATTTCATCTGGGTTATTATTTTATTCAATATGTTGATATACAAGTGCTCAGAGTACTAATACTCTTTTTTTGTCTGTATCTCTTAGACTTTTTGCACCCAAAGGATACCATCCTTATAGCACTGAAAGAGAGCCATCTGTGCCCATGGCTCACTGGCTGGTGCTGTGAGCTGTGGCTAAAGCCCACTTGCTGTCTTGGGGCCATAGGCACTGCGACCACATGAGACCACCCCATGCCCCGAACGTTCTTGGTGTAGCTCTCAGCTAAACTCTCCTTCCAATACACAGAGGACCACAGGGATCATCAGATTTGGGCACTGGAAACACCCAGTAGAGTGTTTTCCATACTGTGAGTTGCAGCCTCTTGAAGAGCTAAGTGGTATCAATTTAAGTGGCATGTCTTTCCCACACATTTGGTTAAAGTGGTCAGACAATCTAAAGGTCTCTGATCTAAGCCAATTCACACTCATTTTGGATGGAAGGAAACTGAGGCCCAAGGAGGGTACATGACTTGCTGGAGGTGACAGGGCCAGTTTGTATAAAGCAAGATCACTGCTGGATATTTCAGTTTCTATCCAAGGGTTCCTCACAGCGAATGAACATTATCATATGGCCTCAAATATTTGAAATTTTTTTCTACTCCCTGTTCCAGGGTGAAAAGCACAGCTAAAGCTGATGTTGGGATATTTAGCAACACCTTTACCATCTGATAAAGAAGGCTGAGTGCCGAAGAATTGATGCTTTCGAGCTATGGTGCTGGAGGACTCTTGAGAAGCCCTTGGACAGCAAGGAGATCAAACCAGTCAAACCTAAAGCAAATCAACCCTGAATATTCATTGGAAGGACTGATGGTGAAGCTGAAGCTTCAATACTTTGGCCATCTGAAGCCAAGAGCTGACTCAATGAAAAAGACCCTGATGCTGGGAAAGACTGAGGGCAGGAGAAGAAGGACGACAGAGGATGAGATGGTTGGATGGCGTCACTGACTCAATGGACATGAGTTTGAGCAAACTCAGGGAGATACTGATGGACAGAGAGCATGGCGTGGCATTCATGGGGTCGCAAAGAGTCGGACACAACTTAGCGACCGAACAACAACAAAAGTCCATTTTCTCTTGTCTCCTCCCTTTTCCCAGACAGATTCCTCAGTCGTACTGGCTTTTCCACCCAGGTGACACTAACAGCTTAGGCGCTGGTGACTGTCCTCTCCAGCACTTCCTCTTATCCACCTTGGGCATCCATCATCAGACTTCTCAAAGACTACTTCCCTCCCAACTGGATTCAGTGTAGAGCATATCCCTTAAGGGAAAGACAAACAATGAAGGAAGTTCTCCTGGGAGGAGAACAAAGGGACTCCTTTATTGTCCAGAACAATCAACAGCTAGAGGAAGCCTACAGGCCCAGAATCAAACCCAAGAGGAGGACTGTGACGCCTCCTGGGCTGGGGGCAAGGCCGGTGAGCAGTCAGGCTTCTAGAAGAAGCAACCTGGGAACCAGAGAGCTCAGGACCAAACACTGTGAGCCTCCTTTCAGGGCACACACATGCCTTCCCACGGTGGAGCTGGTGGGGGAGGAGCAGAGCCATCCTAGCCACCTCCCTTAGATGCCCAGGTCAGCCACCCCAACAGGGGTCACTCAGAATCAAGATAATTCAGAGAACACTTTTCTTCCCCAGAACAAACCACATCAAGTTTTAAGGACTAAGTAAAAGCAAACTTTACCAGCAGATGAGCAGAAGTAACACATGAACACAGCCTTATCACAAGAGCCTTAACAACAGGGACCAGGCTTCTGTCCACCACCCCCTCCTGGGTCCTGGCCTTTCTCTGCAGCACTAGCCTGTAGCCTAAACAACATCAGGCTTACTAATGGTCACATTTGACTTTGCAGCAAAATCGTATCAGTAACTTGATCAACTGACTCGTGAGATTTAACTCTAAATGGATTTTGGCTGGTACCAAAAATCAAGTCCATCCTCAGAGAACAAATAAGAAAATTCCAGATTCACATAAACCAGGCTCTATAGGGATTCCCTTATGGATCAGTGGATAATAATCTGCCTGCCAAAGCAGGGGACATGGGTTCGATCCCTGGTTCAGGAAGATTCCACATGCCATGAAGCAACTAAGCCCATGTGCGACAACTACTCAGCTCCTCTAGAGCCCACAAGCTGCAACCACTGAAGCTGGAGCAACTAAAGCCAGTGTTTCACAACAGGAGAAGCCACTGCAATGAGAAACCCATGCACCACAACTAGAGAAAGCCCACTGCACAGCAACGAAGAGCCAGTGTTGCAGCCAAAAATAACTAAATTTAAAAAAAAAAAAAAAGGTTCTAAAAACTAAGAGCGGACTCCCTCAGAAAGAACACATGGCTTTTTATCACAAACCCACTTACTGCTGCTACCACTACTGAAGCATTTCCTTTTCTTGTAACTTAACTGCAGCCAATTGATTGATAGCTCTTTTTCATTTTCATCCAGAAATGGCTGCTTCTACCAAATTTAGTGTTTGTCCCTCCTACTGCCCTGGCCCCTGAAACGGCGTTTCAGGGACACTGTGGTGATGCAGGCTCACTAGCCTTGCCAAAATAGCCTCCATCTGTCCCTCTCTTGGCAAAGAAGTATGTCCTTCCACAGGTTGTGGGGGCAGCAAGGGGCCACATGAGGAAAGGGCTATGACTGCACAAAGCAAAGCCTCCAAAACTGAGCAAGCTGGGCCCAAAGGGGCCACTGATCCAAGCCACCTTTTCCCAGAGGGCTCTCTGTGAGAACCTGGGCTGTCACAGCTACCGAGGCCCCGGCTTGCCTTTCCCTTCTGGATAAAGGGAAAGTCCATTAGTGCAGAAAAGGAGTCAAGTTTCCTCAACCACATCAGAACATCTACATGTTCAGCCTCTCCTCAAAAACAAAACCTGACTACTGGGCTTCATTGTTCCACCTTGACTATCAACTCTTCCCCCAAGAAATATGTAAAAATAACATTAACCAACAGTGTTAAACCAAACTTCCTAGAAGCTGATAAGTTAGATGCCCAGCCCTTCTCACACCACTTTAAAATAAACACACTCTTTACTAAGTGTGGTTGTAAAGAGTGTGGTTGTGGAGACCTCACATGGTTCCAGAACAAATGGGCCAAAAGGCCCACAGAAGTGCAGGAGTCCCGGCAACGCGCTGGCTCAGAACCCTGGATGCTCAGGCACAGGGAGGCCGGCAGGGGGCGCACCACACCCACCAGCTGCCAACAGCAGGCACGGGGCTTCTGGGATGCAGACAGCAGACACTGCACCTCCGAACCCTGGCCACCTCCAAAGCAGCACAAACCACACGAGGCCACGGGGAGCCCGGCCCCTCTAGGCCCCTTGTGGGGAGCCTGGCTGGATGTTGGGGCACTCAGAAGGGCACCTTGAAGCTGCCTCACCCCACACCCTCCTTCAGTTCTCAGCCTCCTGCTGTGCACCCCTCCCCACACACAAATGGCCTCTGGAGACCCCCAGCCTCCCCCAAGACAGAAAATACCACCAAGAATAGCCACAGCACTGCTGATGAGGGGATGCTGGGGTTCGCTGTGACGTTTCTTCGACTGGTGGGTACCAGGCCCATGTCCACTCAATGACCTAGGGAACGAAGGCAGGCAGAGCCCACACCAAGACCCTCTGATGAGGCAAGTTCCCTGTGAACACTCCTAGCTTGGGGAACTGCAGGCAAAGGCTCTCACCACTGCTGTCGTCCCCGAGGCAGTCATGAGACCCACATGTATTAGCAGCATCAGTGGGACTACCGAAGGGCCCCTAGGCAGGATGGGGTGGGGTGGAGGGGGTGCGCTCAGGCCTAGAGCATCACTGCAGCAGCGTCCCCGCACCATGACAGCCACAGATCGTCCCCGGTGGGACCCTGACTGTGAGCGGGTCACACTGTTCTCCCAGAGCCACATGAAGGGAGGTGGCACCTCTCAGGAACCCTAAGGGAAGAGGTGGTAAATTAGGGGGAAGAAGTGCTGCCAGGAGGGGGACACGTTCCTGGGCAGCGACCCCCAGCACTCCAGGATCCCATCTGTGTCCGTGTCCTGACTAGACATGAAATGGAGCTCTGGCCTGAGCTGAATGGTTTCTGGTCACTGTGTAAATGTGCATCATGAGTTTGTGAAACCTCTGGGAGCGGTAGTCACACCTCCCTGGTTTTACTGAAGAAAAATCCAAGCCCTGGGACGCTCCTGCCCGGCACGGGGACTCAGGGAGGAAATGCGGCAGGAAGGGGAGGCAGAGGACGAGGGGAAGCGGGGCAGAAGCCTCCCTCAGGGCTGACCTGCAGGCCCCTGTCCCTGTGGGTCTGGAGGCACCCACACTGTCCCTGTGGGTCTGGGGGCAGCACCCAGCAGTCCCACTCTTTCCCAGGCTCTGGCTGCCAGGGACACAGGACACTGGAGAAACCTCAGCTCCACTCAACGAGGACAACAGACCTGAAGCCCACACAACCCGCCGGCCCTCATGCCCTGGCGGCTGGTACCCTCACAGCCCTGCCCTGCTGAGCCGCCGGCTCACAGTGCAGGCAGGGATGCAGGATGCATCGCTGACCATCGCGCCCTGAACTGGGCATTCCTTGCGGTGGATTTATGAGCTGAGCCCAGTGCCGTCCTGGGCCCGTGCTCCCAGCCCCAGTCTCACCCCCAGGGAGACCCAGCCCCAGTCCACACTTACCAGCTGCGGCCTGTCCTCCTGCCTCTGGTCCTGCCCCGGGCGGTGGATGAAAGACCGGGTGGATGCTCTGTAGTGGTTCAGCAGGCAGAAGACAACCACGACCATCACTGTGACCACCACCACCACCACGACCACCTGGGCGAACTCCAGCTCCGCTGTGACGAAAAGGAGAGCCGTCAGCCGGGCATGGGGCCACCCCCTCCCAGGCCCTCCAGGGACAGAAACTTCCCTGGACCTGCTGCCTGAGGGTATCACCATGTGGCTAACAGGTGAGGGAAGAAGGCCCCAGCTGCTTAGACAGGTTCTGTCCTGAGACGGACTCATGTAACACGGGACAGGCAGCCACCACTCGGGGACCTTCCAGGGCAGGCGGCTCCTGGGTTCCATCTCCTGGGACATGAGAGGCTCAGGGCCCGGTCCCTGCCAGACCCCCCTGTCCCTAGAGGTTGAAACTATGATTCCCAAAGCATCTCTCCAAGGCTGCACAGCACCCTGGAGGGAAGAGGCACCACCCAGGGAAAGGACGGGACACGTCTCCATTGGGTTCCCACTGCGCTGTTACAGAAGCCTGTCTAAACCACACACTCCCCACCCGTGCATTCACCAGCAGTGTGTGTGGGGGTGTGGGTGCCAGTGCTTCTGTGGGAAGCGGAGCCCAGGGCCAGCCCTGCGTCATCCTGTGGAGTTAGAAGGAGGGTCTTCCTGAACCCACAAGTCCCATCCTGTGGCACCATCCTCCACCCCACCCTTGGCCCCCACTTCACACCTGAGGGACAGAGACTGACAAATGGGCCTGCCAGGCCAGGCGAGGGATGGGGCAGCGGCAGGGCCAAGGCGGGTGGGCTGGACGCACCCCTGGCCCATGACTGGGCTCCCTACGGTAGCTGTCCGCTCTGCTCTGCTCTGCTCTGCTCTGGACATCCAAGGCCTCATGGCTGGTGGGCAGAGGCTTGTCTGCACTTGTACGTCCCTGGGGAGGAAGCCCCCAGAAGCTACAAAGCACTATCGGAATCATCATGGCAGCAACTCCGGGAAACTGAAATCACTGCCTGTCCGAGGGCAAGGGCTGAGACTCTGCAGCTGGGCTGCAGACACCCACGTGACCTTGTCTATCCTCACACGCTGTGGGCATGACACACTTGTGAGGCAGAAAACACGTCTTTACAACACTCTGCCTGCACACAACTGTCTGTCTAGGACACAGTGGTGCCCGTGTGACTGGACCCCAAACCCCATCCCTGAGGACACAGATGAGGCTGCGTGAGCAATGAGGAGCCCACCTCCATCATTTTGTGTTCCTGATGGCAGGCAAAGTGGTGGACTGAGGACAGATTCTGGAGCCCAACCTGGGTTCTGGGGCACCCATGGCACAGGTGCCCACCTGGAGGATCGCTCCTGCAGGAAGGGGTGAGGCCCACCCTGGCCGCCAAGACCAAGGTGGGCATCTTAGGAGGGGACCACAGTTCCAGGGACAAGCAGACAGGAAGCACGGAATCAAGGGCAGCCAATGCGGCACCGAGACTGAACCTAAGAAAATGCCTTGTTTTACCGACTTTTATTTCTATTTTGTGAATGAACAGCAGAGTATTCAAAACTTGCCTTTCAGGTTGCCTTGTGCCCTGGAATAGACAAATGTTTTCTCTTCTCAAGAAAACTGTACTACTTTTTGGATGACTTCAGTGAGGGGCCTTACATGCCTCTACAAACGTTAAGGCTTCACTTGGAGCTGTCAGCCCATGTCATCTTGTTCTGAATATGGAAGGCTATGCAGATGACCATTTGCAGCAAATCAATCAAATTACATTGTCATACTTCTATGGACATTTGGGGATATGTATTGGTTTCATTTGAAACATATTTTTATTATAAAAAAATAATGAAGACTCCTTTAAAATTTAAAGAACATATATGGAAATAGTGTATAATATACAAGTTCCCCTACACAATCTGGCAGCTCTCACCGTGATGCCCACGTCATCCAGGGCACAATTCAGCCATTGTGTGTATCTGTCTTTCACCTCTTGAATAAGGGCTCTCTTCTTTTCAATGAATGGAATTGCTGTACAAATATATTGTTCTTTTTTTCCACTCAATACATCACAAACATCTTTAAACAAGACCTCATTCCCCAGTTCCTAACACGAAACACTGGACCTTGCATTCTCTAAGCAACTGCTCTTTACTTGGTTGGATTTCTTTTTTCTACCAAGATCAAAAACATTTTGTGTGACCCACACTTGTGAGCACCCCTAAGCAGAGATTCCACACCCTGACACGACCTGTACACTTGCTCTTGTCAGGGAGAGGGAAGGGAATCTCCTGCCTCGTGGCCCCAGATGCTGGGCCCTTTCCATTTGTACTAATTTGGGGAGGGGGGCAAAAACATGTATCTTGTCATTTGTTATTTCCCTAGTTACTAGTGATTGTGATCTTTCTCTATGATTAGTGGTAATTTGTATTTTTCTTCATATTAGTTCATATGTTCAAGTAAGTTCATATGTACATATGTTCATAAGTTCACATGTACAAGTAAAGTACATATAGAACTTTACTTGTACATACAGAACATAAGAACATAAAGTTCACTTTACTTGTAGCTTTCTCATTTGTAAGCAGTCTTTACATATTATGGCTACACATCTTATCTGCTACACGTGTTACAAATACTTTCTCCTGGTCTGTCACTTCTTGAAACTTTTCCGTGGATTTATAGATAATATAAATTTTTATGCCATCAAATATGTTATCAAATATCTTTTTCCTTTATGACTTCAAAGCTTCTCATTGATTAGAAAGGTCTTCTCTCCAATACTCTAAAAATATTTTTCTTCTAGGATTTTTATGGCTTGTTTTTTTACTTGCTCTGGATCTTTATTTCTTTTGGTCTGAACAGGACAACAGCACCTAGAACCTTATGTATTATCTGACTCTTCTGACCTAACATCACACTAAAAAGTTCAGTACAAGCAAGGGGAGACCGTCTTCAGCTATGGGGACTGCACAGAAGCCTTCACCTTTCTCTCAGAGGCAAAGAACCATCTTCAAACAACACCTGCTCTCAGGCCGTCCTGAGCCAGCACTCTGGCCAGCGTGCTCCCTCCCGGGCCCTCCCTCCTGCACTGCTGAGGCCGGCGGCCCTCCAGGGCCCTGGTCCCACTGTACCCTTAAACATGACTCATTACCCCAAAGACAGCTACCAGCATTTACCATATTTGAGCTTAAAACCGAAGATGTTAAATATTTATTCATTAAAAATAAACTCACCACATGTTAACACAAGTAACAGAATCACTTCCCAGTGCCATCTCACTTGACACCATGCGCATCGTTACTCCCTGTGCCCACCCCCGACACGCCCCCCAACGGCTTCACCTGCACCCACAGGATGTGTGGCTAACCATGACAGATGAGTGGTTCTTGTCTGTTCTTCCTTTCACAGGGGCTGTGGCGACCACCAGGGCTGAGCCCCCACCTCTGGCCCCAAGGTTCCCTCTGTGAAGGCCCTCCGTTCACTGACCTGTGTGACACACACAGTCCTGGAGAAAATGCACAGACCTTGAGCATGACTGACCTACAAGCATTCACAGTTGGGTGGGACTCGTCCTGGGTTCTGTCTGCAGACAAAGGGCCCTGAAACTAACCAAAGCAAGTCAGTGGGTCCCGGGGGAACTATTAGCATTCCACTGAGACACTAACTCTCAAAATCTGTAAAGACTCTGTGGCTCTACGTGAGCCAGAGGCTTTTGGAGACATTTATGTGTCTTGTGTGCCTATTAGGGCGACTCTGGTCAGAGGTGATGGCTCTGTCCATTACAGATTCCCATTCTTTGAGGTTTATGACTATGCTATAAAATTCTGCCCTGAGATGAAATTTTCCACATAAAACTTATACCCTGGAATTTGGCCTTTAAAAAATAAAATAGTACATTTTAGTAAGTTTGCTACACTTAAAGTCATGAACGAGGATTTTAAAAGAACATGAACTTCACATTCCTACAGACTCAAAACACAGTAGTAGTTTATTTGATATTTGTGGACATCAGCCTATAGCAAGGAATAATTCACTAATGTATTCTTAGTGTTTAAAAAACTGCAACACAGAGAGCTATTTATCTAGAAATGTTCAATGCCCTATATGTGTTCCAACCACAGTGCCTCATGCCCCATCATTTTGTAAAAACGTTAACATGGTTTTTGACTCAGCTACCAAGCTGACAGCAGATTAAAGATTTCTTAAATAAATCAGTCTAAGTTAAATAACCCTAAAACAGCTGCATAACAGCAATGAAGTCCCTGTGTTAATGCACTATGGGGTTTACCTGAACACTACTGATACCATGACAGTACTTTTTCCCTCTATTGAAAAAAAGAATTATTATTATTCTGTGTTTGTCTCAATATTTACTTTCACAACAGTTAAGCTTCTCCCTACTAAGTGGCTTTTACAGCTTTGAGAACCACAGTTGCTCTTGCAAACCCAGGAGAAAATGGAAAGCAGTATGAAGTTTATACTTCACGTGGATAAATTCAGGGCCAGTTAGACCCCAGTCTGGTTCCAGTTCTGCCATCTGACTCCATCAGCTGCAAAAGCTGTTTCCTCATGTGTAAAACAAAGCCAAGTCCTCCACTGTATGGCCAGTGGGAGCATGAAATAAAATAACCCCTCGAAACTGTCTACTCAAAAGTGTGGTCCAGAGAGATGGTTAGAAACACAGGAAATTGGGTGCCACCCTCTCTTTTCCGGTTTTGTGGTGTAGAGAACCATGAGCAGCAAAGTCTCCCGCGACACCCTCTACAAGGCTGTGCGGGAAGTCCTGCACGGGAACCAGCGGAAGCGCAGGAAGTTTTTGGAGACTGTGGAGCTTCAGATCAGCCTGAAGAACTATGACCCTCAGAAGGACAAACGCTTCTCGGGCACCATCAGGCTTAAGTCCACTCCCTGCCCCAAGTTCTCCATGTGTGTCTTGGGGGACCAGCAGCATTGTGATGAAGCCAAGGCTGTGGATATCCCCCACATGGACATTGAGGCGCTGAAGAAACTCAACAAGAATAAGAAACTGGTCAAGAAGCTGGCCAAGCAAAGAACTCAACAGACATTTCTCCAAGGAAGACATACAGATGGCTAACAAACACATGAAAAGATGCTCAACATCAC